CCATTTTCCGCCCTGACACGTGGTCCGTGGCCATTTTCCCTCCCGTGACACGTGGTCCGCGGCCATTTTCCGCCCTGACACGTGGTCCGTGGCCATTTTCCCTCCCGCGACACGTGGTCCGCGGCCATTTTCCGCCTCTGACACGTGGTCCGTGGCCATTTTTCCGCCCGTGACACGTGGTCGTAGGGAAGGGGACTCTCCCTCCAAGCAGTAGCCACCTCCCTGTCCTCCACGCCAGAACGGATTAACGGTAATTACATTGAACCTTATGGGAAAATTTGATTCGGGTTGCGACCAATTCGGGTTGCAACCAGAGTCATGGAATGAATTAAATTCGTAACCCGAGGTACCACTGTATTTAAGGAAGTGACTCCCAATCTTCTTTACAACAAGTACAAGCAAATTTAATATTTCCCTACCCCTTATAAAATTATAAACATCATCAACTTCTTCCCATAATCCCCCCCCTTTCCATTTACAAATCCAAAAATCATTGTCATTTCTGTCTAGGAATTGGCAAAAAGTCCATAAAGGGTTCCAGCATTTTATGGCAGTATTTTTTATTTTACCCTTGATCAAACAAGGCAACTTTATGTTCCTTTTTCTTTTTTCTTTTTTGGTTCTAACAGTCTTGATCTTTACTTTACTCAAGTTGCTGTTGTGGACTTGAATCTCCATTCAAACTTGCTTCTTCCCATCTCAAAAATTTCTTCAAAACTTTGGAAACCCTCTTTTGTAAATCCATTAATAAGATTTGTCCAGGTCATTTTTCATCTCTTGGCTTATCATATGTATTTCCACTTTAACTGTCATCTCTGTCTTATAATCCATGATTTATTTATTTTCCAATGTTTCTATATCATTTGGAATTTGTTTCACTTCTTCATTCTATTGTTCTGTAAATTCTTCCACATTACTCTTTTTTTCATCTTTTGTTTCCTTTTTAGGATCTTCTTCAAGGAATGCATTAGCAGGTGCTGTTATTATTGCTGCCAGTTTAACTATAAGTTTCTCTCCCAATTCTTCAAAGATTCTTTGAAATATCAAGTGTTATTCCTTTATCTGTAATTTTGTGAGCTTCACTACTTTTCTTTCAAATCCAAAATTAAAATAAAAAACAGGTTTCTCTCTTTCTCTCCTTCCTTCCTTCCTTCCTTCCTTCCTTCCTTCCTTCCTTCCTTCCTTCCTTTCTTCCTTCCTTCTTTTTTCCTGCCTGGAACTTTAGTCCCCTCTAGTGTCCAATTTCTATAGAATCTCAGCAATCATCTTTTTCCTGGTAGACAAAACAATTTAGGTTCCCATGAAAATATTGTTTTATTTATCTTATTATTTCAAAAACCTTAGCAAAAGTTATTTCAAAAATCTTAGCAAAAGTTCCAATAGTCCAAATTCTTCTGGTCCCTTAATCCATTTAAAACTTTCTTGAATTAAATTCTTATTTAGCTTTTTGCCCTTTATTTTATATTCTTTAAGTTCTTTAAACTGCTGTTTAATTTTTCTTCTATTTGGGGATGAAATTTTACTCACAAGGTAGTTTTTTTTTAATTTGTTGCTTGGAAGACCTCTTTTAACTTTGAAATAATTGTAAATCCAAAAGTGAGGTTGAAGAACCCAGTGTCCTTAAAAGCTTCACTGCAGTTGAGAAATGGATGGCTTTCTTTGTCTCCTGGCACTCAGGACCATGGGTTGACTACTGTGCTGCAATCTTCTTGTGAGAAGCAGCTATCTGGAGCACAAGTGGGTGATCTGTGATCCTCTCCTTATCCAGAGAGGTTTTGTTAGACCAGGCTTATCACTGGCCCTTTGGTCTTTACCAATGGCATCATCTCCGCTCCTCCGGAGACGTCTTCCTTTGCCACTGCCTCACTCAGAAGTCTTAGAACCTCTTAGAGCATTTCCATTGCATGAAATCTCTGTTGCTGGCTAGGCCCCAGTGGAGCTGCCTTCTCCCTTTCCTCTGCTTGCACCAGGCAGATTTTCCATCTGGGATCAAAAGTAATCTGACCTTCAGTATCTTTAATAATTTTGAGGAAAAATTTATTCTGTGAGCCTCCATTTATCTCACCCATTCTGTTATATGAAGTGAGTCTGCACCTGCCAACATTCTTTTACTTCTTCAACAGCTAAGAATTTACAATACTTTTCCTTGTACAAATTCTCATTATTCACTGCTACATTGGGAATGCATGACAAAATAATCAGGGGTAGGAGAGGAATAGCATTTCTAGCATCAGTGATACTGCCTAAAAGTAGCAAACTATTCTAGAATATTAGTGAGGAAATGTAGTTGATGTTTGGGTGACCAAAAATAACCAAAGTCATCCCAGATTAAAGCTTCAGTTAATTAACAAGAATATTAGACTATTGTGACAGATTTTCAGAGTACATGATCATGGGTATCTTTTGCAAAGTGTGGATGTCCAGAGATTTCTAAGCTTTTGAAATACAGTATGTTCTAAAATCATTCCTTGTTAAGATTCATTTTCACTCACTTCCTCTCCTGTTTCTTCCCAGCTCCTTGTGGTCAAAATGAAACAAGAGAGGATGGTAAAATAATTCAACTTCCTCCCTGCAAAACAGGAGCATGGATCGTTCCTGCCATAATGGCTTGCTATCTTTTGGTTGCAAACATCCTTCTGGTGAACTTGCTGATTGCAGTTTTTAAGTGAGTTGATAATATATTTTATATCTCTTTAGATATTAAGTTGATATTCAATGACTACAGGTAGTCCTCAGTTAACAACGATAATTGCCACCAGAATTTCTGTTGCTAAGCAATGCAGCCATAAAGCGTGATGTCATGTGACCACATCACTTAGCACCGTCAATCCTGGCAGTCCCCACTGCTGTCATTAAGTGAGGTTTGCAGGTTGTTAAGCAAGGACCTCCTTGCAACTTCCTCCCAGCTTCCAACAACCAAAGTCAGTGGGAAAGCTGGCAGGAAGTTACAAATCCCAGGCAGCTTGCAGGCAGGCTGGCAGGCAGGTAAGTGGCTGGTGTTGGGTGGGGGAGGGCGTGTGGGGGTGCACAGGTGGCCAGTGCTGCACGGCTTGAGCGCAGCAAGGCTTGGGGTGGCTGCTGCCGGGTGGGGGAGACTTGTGACCTTCCCTGCCAGTTTCCCCATTGACTTTGGGAAGCTGGCAAGGAAGGTCACAATGGCAATCACATGATTGTGGGATGCTGCAACTGTTGTAAGTGTGAGCCAATTGCCAAGCACCCAGATTGTGATCACATGACCATAGGGGTGCTGGGACAGTCAGAACTTTGAGGACCAGTTGTAAGTACCACTCATTCAGCACCATCATAACTTTGAATGGTCACTGAATGAGTGGTCGTTAACTGAGGAATACCTGTATTAGGGCTATGCAGTGCTTTGTCTCTGTTTCCAGGAAGGGTGTTTCAGACCACACAGATATAACCCATGTCTGCTATTTTTACATCAGCTGCATCTTTTCCTGAGATTCCGTAGCTACTTTCTATAGCCACCATGTAAGCCTAGACAAAGATATAGCCATTTTAAAGAGTTGCAGACGGGGCTACATTTGTGCAATCTAAAGAAAATTTGCCCAGTTCTACTACAAGAGAATGCCCAGTTATGGAAATAAACAAATGGTATAAAAGTTGTGATTGTGCTGGGGGCAAATTCATAGTAATTAAAAACTCAAATGTGTTACATGTTCAATCAAGTTGTAAATTTATAAACTGATAAAAATAGATGGAACCGTATTTTGCTTTAGAATAAGAAGAGTTTATACTTCTGGATAAAACCTAATTTCTTCCAGACTAGATATGATGTGGAAAACAAATGAAGACTCCCAATTTATATTATTTTTAAATATATGCCTGAAGATAGCTTTAAATTTGATCAAAGCCAAAAAGTACTCAAAGGAAGTAATTAACCCTTGTTCCACAGTCATTTTTTTTCTAGTTTTTCTGGCTATTTCCAGCTGTGGAGAGAAGGTTGGAGTTCATTTGAAAAAAAATTACCTCTGTAGAATATTTCTTCCAACACCTCTGCACTGATCTACTAATATCAGAAAGTGTTACCTGCACTATTTCCCATCTTAGACTATTTTCTACCTGCAGAAGGAGTAGATATGGATTCATCAAGGAAATCTACTTCGTCTCTATCTGCTGTTTAACTAGAGGTGGACATTACAGGCTGATACACAGTTGAGCAATTTTGAGGCAGAGGTGCAGGGCAATATTACCATCCAGAATAGTTTGGTAGTTACCAGAACTGGCAGGGTCCACTAGTACTGCCAAGAGTTTCAATAACCCTGCAGAAGACGCATGATTTATCTGATCGAGACATGAAGCTACGTTAAAATACTGAATTGTATTCTCCAGTTATCTCAGTGGTAAGGAACAACATTCTTCCAGGTGCATCAAACAAGATAATCCCCCACAATTTTTTCCCCCAATCCAAATTTAACTCAGCATTTCAGTGCTTCTGGATGCACTTAGGGTGCTCTGGTTGTCTTAGTGAAGTGGGAAAGAATGGTGGTTGTGGTGGTGTTGCACCCATGCTACTGAGATAACCTAAGGGGATGGCCAGAGTTAATCAAAGGAACATCTTGGGAACTGGTTCTATAGCAGTTACATTTAAATAGCCATATGAATAGATAACTTCTTTTAGAGGTATATCCTAATATTTTCATGCAGAAATCAAATTTGTTGTATATGATTAAAATAAACAATATAACAATATAAACATAACAAATACTGTTATGAATAGTTCATCCATCAGAGTGCCAGAATTGATTGCAGATGCTAATTGCACATACAATCTAAAATTTGTTGTTTTTCAGTGTGTGGAATAGGTCTCAATGTTACATATACAAACTTAGAATTCACTGTTAATCAAAAGCCAATTTATTTTCTATTTCTATTTCAGCAACACATTTTTTGAAGTTAAGTCTATATCAAACCAGGTATGGAAGTTTCAGAGATATCAACTTATTATGACTTTCCATGAAAAACCAGTCTTACCTCCACCACTAATCATCTTCAGTCACATGACCATGATATTTCAACACATATGCTGTAGATGGCGGAAACATGACAGCGATCCAGATGAAGCAGATTATGGGCTGAGTAAGTGTCATAGGATTTGTGCAGAATTATTTGGACAGAGCTGTTATGCTTCATGGGGGCCCTGGCATCACTTAGATGCATTACCACCCATGAGCAGACAATAGTTTCAGCTGGGGAGATCTCAACCAGGAGATGCCTGTGTAGGTTTATAGTACGGTAGCCTACGGGGTATATTTGGAGCCATTCCTTAGTCATAGCATGCAGAGTAAGTCTTGGAAATCTAAGGCTGAAAAGCACTATAAAGTTATATAATAATTTTTACAGTATATACTCTACCTTTATATTTATCAGGATCCATAGGAAATTGCATACATGCATACCCATTATGCATACATATAAATCCATCATACTGTTATCTTTTGAGGTAAGCAACATTCTTCAAAGGATAGATAAAGAGTAAGATGTAGAAATTAAAAGCAAGATATAAGAGAAAGAAGGAATCTAATTAAATCTAGTTTACTCCATTGTTCACTATACTTTTCCATATCTTTATATCTTTGCAAACTATCCTTGCTTTCACCACATCCATTCACAAATTAATACACTGCCTTTTGTTATTTAAAATTCTCACCTTTGTCTTTTTGAGGATTCATCAACTCCATCCAGTCTCCTCATTTTTCCCTTCCTCTCAATACTTCTGGTTTTTTTAATATCATCATTTTGCAATTATTTACTTATTCATTCTTTCTGTGTGACCAAATCATTTGGATTCTTGACTAACAATATAGCATCATTTGCATATAAAAGTACACAAACACTCATGTCCCCAGCCAATACATTTCTAACATCACTACAACCTGTCCTTATATATTTATCCACAAATACATTAAACAACCAGGGAGCATCATGTATACTTATTTTGTCTCTGATCAGGCCTATTCACTTTATCATAAGCTTTCTCTATGAACAAATATACAATAAACTTTCTCACTTTCCTACATTTCTCAATGACTTGCTAAAGGGCAAATATCTGCTCTCTATACTTCTTGACCAATAGAAAACCACACTGCGCTTACCCAATTTTGCTCATTGCCCCCTTATGGCATCTCAGTCAGATTCTGCCACTTTTTCAAATATCCTTAACAAACTAATTCTTGTAGTTTTTGCATTCACTTTTGCCTCATTTCCCTATGTACAGGAGAACCATAAAAACATTCTTTCAGATATCAGACACAGAAGCATTTTTCACACATACACATTTAACAAACCACACAGTTACTCGATAAGCAAATTGCATCCCTATTTTAACATCTCTGCTGTTATATATATTCAGTGTTATCATTTTTCACAGCATTTATGATTTCCTTTTCATCAGTTGTTTCTTGGATACTAATATTAAAACAGTCATTTTAACACCACTCTCTGATTAATATTGCCATACAGATCTCTCAAAGAGTCCATTCAGCATTCCCTCACTTCAGTTTTAGCCCAAATCA